ACAAAGGGGGAGCGCAGCCTGAACTGATATTTCCTCATTACGATGCCGATGCTGCAGCGGGTGTCAGGCTGGATGTTCCCCTCTGCCAGCACAGCCGGGCCTCAGGCGGCTCCAGCGCTGGGGCCGGTGGGATCACGGAGCCTGCGGACCCCCGGCTGTGCTCCCAGTGTGCCGGCTGCATGGGAGTTGGGAGCAGGACGGGGCTGGGAGCACGTTGTGTGTGTGGGGGGGACTGATCCTGCACTAACAAGAGCCCCAGCCTTGTGTGTGTAGGGGGACTGATCCAGCACTAACAAGCAACTTGTAGCTCGGGGTTATTCCTGCTGAGCAGCGGGAATGAGGTTTAAGCAGAGCTGTACTGATGTGATATGGGCCATGTAAATCTCCTCCTTTCTCCTCTCCATGCTTGTCTCCCGTTCTTTGGCATTGCTGTGCAGGACAAAAGAGCCCTGGTGATCCCCAGCTTCCCAGAATCTGTTGGTGAAGTCTCTGGTGCTCTGGCTGCTCTGAGTGCAGGACAAGGCTGCAGAGGCCCTGCAGCCTCGCTGGCAGCGTGGGCACAGCTCGGGCAGAGGGAGTGTGGCTGATGAGATGAAGTGACTTGCTCCACATCATCAGGGGACCCCCAGACAGCCTGGCAGTCAAAACAGACCCCTCCAACTCTACTTGCAGTATCTCCACACACCAGAGCATCCTTCTGGTGGCTGAAGAGCCCCTCACAGCACCACGGTACCCGTACCATGGACGGTGCTGTGCCTGCTGCTGGTGAAGGTGGTTCTAACTCAGGACCCATCTGTGAGCTGGTGATGGGAGTGGTGGCACCTGTGGCACTGCCCTGGCTGTGTGGGAGTGGGCACTCCACTGTGGCAGGGTCCTGGTCTGCCCATCAGAGCCCTGCTGGTCTAACCCCAGCATTAGCCTGGGTTTAACCTCTCTGGTGTGGGATACAATCACCTTGTTTTCCTTGTTTCAGTGCGTGCAGGGGCTCAGGGAGCGAGCCCTTTGCCCGGGTAAGCTGCTTTCGTGTAATTCTGCTGCCGAGTGACGTCCCTGGCGTGTGCAGCCACAGCTGTGACACCGATCCCTGTGCACACAGAGCCGGGGCTGTGGGAACAACCCTGCCAGCCAGGGGAGGGAGGTGGATCTTGTGGCAATAGTGGCGTCATCTCAGCTATATTTTACCAAGGCTGACGTAAAACCGCTCAAGTGATGGCAAAAGCATGAAATATAGTTGTTTGAGTGGGTAAAAAAGCCAAAATACAGAACACGGGAGCACTGACATTTGATGTCTGCAGTCTGGCTTCTTAGCAGTATTTATGGCTTCTGCCTATTCTTCTGCAGTATTTTGATCTTTTTATGCTTTCAGTCACTTTCTGTGAACAGAGTTGCTCTCATTGCTGGAGTACCGTGGCAGAATGTGCTGGGCTGAGCTCTGTGGAGCCGCCTGCCCACAGGCCTGGGCAGCTTCTGCAGCTGAACAAGACTTGGGGTCAAAGGAGGTTTTTCATGGAATCACAGAATAATTTAGGTTGGAAAAGACCTCCCAGATCATCAAGTCCAACCTTTGACCGATCCCCACCTTGTCACCCAGCCCAGAGCACTGGGTGCCACCTCCAGTTGTTCCTTGGAGACCTCCAGGATGGTGACTCCACCACCTCCCTGGGCAGCCCCTTCCAGTGCCCTTTCCATGAAGAAATTCTTCCTGAATTCTTCTTTTTGGTATCACCAAGGTGCGTTGGAGGATGTGTCCTGTGCCATGGGATGTCAGGTTACTGGGCTGGCATCATTTTGGTGCCTGTTGGTGCACATTAACCAGCAGATGAATGGAGTGGGATGACTCCTTTTTCCCAGTGGATACCAAAGGAGGATTTTTCACCTGAAGGTCTCAACTTCCTTTTATGCTGGCACTTGTCTTGGAGCCTCTTGTTTGGGGGCATCTGTTTGCCTCTTACTTTATTTTTTTCCCTCTTCTTTGTCTTTTCTTTTACAGAAAAGATTATTCAAATGAATATTCAGTTTTATTCATTTGAATAAAAAACCCAACCGTTTGACTCTGTTAAATGCTTATCTCTTAAATAGAGCTTGTTAGCTTCCAATAATAGCTTCATTCAGAAGGATGCAGTATAATTTCATTTTAAAACGTGTGCTCCTTGACAACCGGAATCCTATTTCTGTCACCGTTTTCAACAGCCGCCTTTGTTTTGGGTTAATCTTTTTCATACACTTTCTGAGAACGATTTTTTTGTTGACTCTTAGTCCCTCTCAGAAGAAATAATTGTCTATTTAGTCCAGGAAGGGTTCTGAGAGTTTTGGTAATTTAAAAATGAGCGTGTATTCATTATGGGAACTAATAAGTCATGTGTGCGGGGGGATCTTTGTGTGGGTGCAGTTATTAAAAGTTGGAGTCTGATATCCATGAAGTGAAACAAGAAAAGAATCATGGAATGGGTTGGGTTGGAAGGGACCTTAAAGCTCATCTAGTTCCACCCCCTGCCATGGGCAGGGACACCTTCCACTGTTCCAGGTTGCTCCAAGCTCTGTCCACCCTGGCCTTGGATACTTCCAGGGATGGGGCAGCCACAGCTTCCCTGGGCAACCTGTGCCAGGGCTAAGGTCTCTCTTAAAGGACCTGTTACCCATCACTTTTATGAACTTTTTAATTTTGGGTTGTGTGATCTCTTGGGGGTTGTTCATTTGAGGAGCAATGGCATCTCTGGAATAGCATCCTGTGGGATTTAAGTGCCTGTTTACCTGCAGATGGAAATACTCTGGTTGTCCCCCTAAGTTAGAGGTGTTGGGAATCAGAGATAAGATGTTATGAGCCTTCAGCTCTGGATGCAGAGCCCTGTGTGGGCACCGGGCCTGACTCTGCGAACCCCTTCCCTTCCAGAGAGGATGGAATGGGAGGTTGTAGTAGGTTATTTCACATTTCCAGTCTAACCAAGTGCCACAGATCTTTTTAGAAACCTGCAAGTGCCTGCTGACACCTACAGATTGTTTTTTTATTGTTACAAAATCTGGAAATGCAGGGAGCTGGCTGGCTCTGTGGTTTAATGAGACAAATGATTTTTTGACAAACCTGTGTTTAAGGCATATGGAGTGGGAGGAGAATGGGAAACTCATTTCTGAGTCCAGACATGTAATGACTGCAGTGGATTTTCTTGCAGTGTTTGGCATATTAGGGCTAATCTCCTAAATTCCCTCTGCCCTCCATCCTGGCACTGAGACCTGACACAAGTTGCAGGAGAAATCCTCAACTGCAGCCCTTGCTAATGACTTGCTAATGATGAAGATGCTGCTGGTGCTCAAACAATTAATGACTTGTAGCCCTGGCCTGGCCATCTCATGGCACCAGGCAGTCAGTCCCTGGCCACGCACAGCTCCCAGCTCCAGGAATTGCTCCAGGAATTGCTCTGGGAATTGCCCGGTGCAGCGTGCACCAGGATTCCTGGGATGCCGAATTCAGCCAGTTAACCACAAAAATTTTAGTTTTAACTATGGGTCTGTTTAAGGTGGATTTAAATGGAGTAATTTAGAAGGCAAATGAAAGACTTGAGTTATGTAAAAAAATTCAGGCTGCTGCCTGCTCTAAGTGCAAAGCAAAGCAGTGTTCTGAGCCTGGTGTGCTGTCAGATGATGTGTTATGCCTTGGAGAAGAGCTAGAAACCATTCCTTGTGGGTTTTACCCCAGTGAGAGGGTCTGAAAAGGGATGGGAGCATTCCCCATTGCTACACATACTGTGTATTCCTGAAGAACTCGTCCAGGAGCTGCTCAGACCTCACCCTGAAATGCTTCCCAGTGTTGAGTACTGTAGCCTGCAAAGTGTCTCCTGTACCTGGAGGTTGCAAGAAGCCTCTTTATATTTTTAACACTTTCTGCTGTGCCCCACCGAAGCAAATTCAGTGTGTGTTCAGCAGGATGCAGTTTTTAGTGCAGTTTGGGGGAATGGAGTTCATCCTGTTATTACATTTTTGAGATTTCATTAGCTTAATTTGTGTCGGTGTTGACTCATCAAGCCTTTGCCAGAGAAATGTAGCACATGAGACTGGGGTTTGTTCATTAGCTTGATTTTTTTTTCCTTAAGGAAGGAGCAGGGAACAGGACAGTGTGTAGCTGTGGTGGGCTGCCAGATCCCTTCAGTGCAGCCCAGCAGAGCAGGCAGTGAACAGCTACAGGCAGGCAGCAGGCATCAAACAGACTAAACCAGCCCCAATCCCTGGCTCTTTGAAGCACCAGCGGAGAAGAGAGGAACGATTAGATCAGAGACCTTAAATGTAATGGGTTCCTGGAGGCCTCAGGATGTCCTGATGAGGTATTAGAGGAAGTAATTCAGGAAGAAAGGGACAAATAACCACCTCCGGAGCTGGGCTGACCCGCGGGGCCGGGTGGGGTGTGTCAGAGCACGTGGAAACAAAGTGCTGCTGTGTGTTTGGGAAGCACTGGGGTTTTTTTTTCCTTGCCAGGGGTAAATGAGGAATCATCTTCTGTCTTCCCGGATTTTTATGGGTTTTTGGGTCGTGTAATGAGTCAGCTCTAATGGAGAAGTCCCGTGGAATTAAACAAGAGATGAAATCAATATGGTTCCATAGAAATATAATTGGGTTTTGTGGAGATTGCTCTTAAAACCCTATAAGGTGTAAAAGAAAATACAGCCTTATTGTAGTTTCTGAGCCATCATGTAGCTGGGGTGTAACTATCCATTAAATTCTTCAGGATGGATCAAAAAATCCATAAGGAGGTTTTAATTCTCCATTAAATCCTATGGAAGAACTGGAACAGAACCGTATTAATTTTCCCTGAGACAATGCCTCTTCCCTCCATTAGTCTGCAATCAGCTCAGGAACAGCTCCATAGGCAGCAGGTGTAGTCACACGTGCGTGTTGTTATGGAAGTTTTCCAAAGTCCCAATGGCTAAATAAAGCTTTATTAAAATGAAATTGTTAAGCTTAACTAATGTTTTTCCTTCCCTCTCCCCCTTTTTGTATCTTTTATTAAATAGGATTTGGCTTCGTAACTTTTGAAAATGAAGACGTGGTGGAAAAAGTCTGTGAGATTCATTTCCACGAAATCAATAATAAAATGGTAAGTGTTGATGGTGTGTCGGTGACAGCGAGTTCTCACCTCGGGTCACAGACATGAGCTATGTCAGGGGGGAATTGTGGCCCTCTGGGACACCCCTCTGGGAGGTTAGTGGGGTGCTGGGGTGGTGAGAACAGGGTGGTGCTGAGCCTGGCCCACGACTGGCCCAACCCCTGCTCCTGTCCCCCCGCAGCAGGACCGGTGTCTGTCCCCATGGCACAGGCTCAGGCAGCCACCCCAGAGCACCTTTTGGTGTGGGAAGGCAAAGGGCTGAGGATGGTGGGAGTTGAGCTGCTCAGCTTCTCGAGCAGCCCTGGAGCAGCCTTTCTCCTCCTCCTCCTCCTCCTCCTGCCCATGGTTGGAGCCGAGGCAGCTGCCGAGCGATGGCATCGGGGGGGTTTGGGAGGGAAGTGCCCTGGGGTGGCTGTTCCAGCCCATGTGCTCCCAGAAGTGCAGTTCTGGCTGAGCTCCCGGGTCTGATCCTGCTCTGACGTGGCTGCTGCCTCTGGCCCGTGTCCCGGGAAGTCGTGGCTCTCTGCCATGGAGCCGCAATCCCTTCCCACCCAGGCCTGACCCAGGAGCCAGACCTGGGTGAAGTTCCTCCTCAGTGACAGGCAGGTCCCAGGTTGTGGGTTGCCCTGTCAGTAAAGCCACTGAGCCAGATGAAAAGGGGCATTTGTATTTCAATTGCTGCAGTAACTTTGATATTTTCAGCTAAAATATTCTTTTTCCCTTTGTCAAAACATCCTTTGCTTCTCAAATGTGTATTCAGATATGCATTGTATATTGGTCTGATATGTGTTCACAGACTTTAAATTCAATAATAGAGCTTTTAGTGTGGATAAGATCAAAGCAATCTCCTTGGCATATGCTGGAGGCCTGATTCAATATTTGACTTGCTAATTTTTCCCAGGGCACTGAAATAATATTCCTCATATTGTTCCTCAGTGCAATATGCATCTGAAATAAAAGTGAGGGTCCCCTCGGCCAGCTGTGGGGTGGGGTGGTGGGGCAGGTCTGGGGCAGTGCTCCTGGTCCTGTGGGAAGTCTCTTGCTCCACTTCAGGTGGATGCCTCATCTTCAGGTGGATGCTGTGGCCTCTGTCTCTGCCCTGTTTGAGCATCTTGCTGCCCATGAGCCCCCCTCCTGCACTGGGGTCTCCTGCCTGCCCCAGCTACACCTCACCTGAGCTGGCTGCAGGGTGAGGGAAGGCTCATTCCTCTTTATGTAGTTACTGAATGCTGATTAATCTGCCTTAAAGTTTAAAAAAAGAGCAAACCCCAACCACCCGCAGACGACAGACCCAGCAACAAATTAGGAAGTACTTGGGATGTAAATTTAGGGATTGGCAGGTGGGAGGGAAGAGCTCCAGCACCACGCTCCAGGGTTTTCCTACCCACAGCAGGTGGGCACGTGTCGTATCATGCTTCATGGGTTTAGTTATTCCCACAATAGGTTTTTCTCTGGAGTCAGGCTCAGCCTTTGCCTGGCTCAGAATTGCCTCTCTGGGGTGCTGGGGGGGTGATGGATGGGGCAGCAGGTCCTGGTGTGTCCTGGTGCCAGCAGCAGGGCGGGGCACAATGTTTGATGCTTCATCCCTGGGTCTGAACCCATGGACTAGAAAAGCCTCACCTGGTTCTTGGTATCCCCTGGGAGGGGGGGGGGGGAGAGCTGCTGAGAGGATCCCTTCCCAGGCAAAAGGCTGCACTGGAATGTGACAGCAGCACGGGGAGTGTGGAGGATGGGACAGGGTGAAAACACTCAAGGAACATCACAAAGAGCCAGAGAAGCAGTGTTGTTGTTGGATAATTAAAATACCTCCTGCTTGCTCGGTGCACGCTCCAGGTGCCACCGTGCTCTGAGTGTTCTCTTGTCACTCCTTCAGCACTAATTTTGAAAGCAGCCCACGAGCAAGGGGATGAGACATGATCCTGTTTTGGGACTGAGTCATCGTCTTGCTGATGTGTCTGCACATGAATTGCCAGACCCACGCAGGGCAGGAGAGCTCGTGTGTGTGCGTGTGACAGGAGCTGGGGTGGCTGGCCTGGATGCCTGGGGTGACACACGGCTGGCCAGGGGCAGCATCGGGCACAGATGGACTTGGATCATGTCCCCCTCTAGCCTTGAGCTGTGGAGGGGATGGGCTCTCTCAGCCCACCTCAGCCTGAGGTGGTGGGGTTTGCACCATTCCATGACCTGGGCCTGGGCCACCCTGTCCACATCCCCATCCTTATCCACATCCCCATCCCCAGGCTGCTCAACTGGGGTATCCACGGCTCCGTGGGCACCGACTCACCCTGAGCTTGCTCTTCCTCGTCTGCTGACCTCTGTCATTTCCCAAAATGCAGGGGCAAGCAAAGGGCAGGGGGTGGCTGCTCCCCAGCCTATTTCCAGCTCCTGTCTCCCTGGCAGGCTATTTTTAGCTCATCCATTCTACTTCTGTTGCCATCCGTAAAGCTTAGAATGTCAACTGTAATATTAAACGAGCAGTGGGGAAGTGAAAAGAAAATGCCAGGGAGGTATTTAATAACTGAAACTCGGAATTTACGTGGGAGGCCAAAGATGCTCCAAACATTGCGGGGACAACAATAAACCCAAACAAGCTGTCCCTGGATTATTGCTCCTTTGACAGGAGCAGGCAGCTTTTGCAAAGACACCTGGCTTTCTAACATGGTGCAGAAGTAGCTGGAAAAGAAATGTGAGAGAGTAATTTATTTTCCCCTAGATCCTGCTGTGCTGGAGTCGTTCACCTCACGGGTGCAGCGGGACACACGATGGTGAGAGGGGCAATGAGCCAAGCCTGGAGTCAGGATCTCATGTCAGGCTCTGGAGCAGCTGACAGAAATGTTGGGCTGTTCTAGAACAGGCTTTGACACTGCCCAGCACCTGTGGCTCTTCCTCTCTCTCAGGGTGGGATTTTGTGGTGTTTGTGTTTCTTTTGTTGTGAGGTTTTTTGAGTGCATTGGTGCTCCTCAGGCTTCTCCCCGAGCTGTGTGGTGCCATGTCAGGTGTGTCTGTCACACACCACGTGCCTTTGGGTTTGCATCCAACTACTCACCCTCGTCCCTGTGAGCAAATTGGTTTAGTGTTGTCTTCAGTGGGCTTTAAATGATGAGACTTCCCTTGTGGGGGTCTCCCAAGGCTGGGTTCTCCATCCTGCATGGGACAAGAAGGAGCTTCCCCACTCTGGATGTATTTAGGGACAGACTCGTCTGCCCACCCACAGCTGGTGACTTCTCTTGTAGTCTGAGGAGGTGCCAAACCACTGGCCTCACCTCACCTTTGTCAGTCACAGACTGGTTTGGGCTGGAAGGGCCCTTAAAGCTCATCCTGTTCCACCCCCAGCCATGGGCAGGGACACCTCCCACTGGCCCAGGTTGCTCTGAGCCCCATCCAACCTGGCCTTGGACACTTCCAGGGATGGAGCAGCCACAACTTCTCTGGGCAACCTGTGCCAGGGCCTGTTCCAGTTCATCTGGTTCCAAGCCCCAGCCACTGGTCAATGATCTGACACATCAACAGACCCATGGTCAAGGCATTTTCTAAAATAAGCTTATGACCTCTGCTGCTGCCTGGTGCAGCTTGCCATGGTGTGAGTGACATGGTGTCCCCAAGGTGAGCAAACCCCAACAAGCTGCAAATCACACGTTTCTGGCACGACAAAGTCTCCTTGTCTTTGGGTGGTTCAATGGGGGTTTGTGCATTGTGGATACTGCGAATTCTGCTTTCCTGAAAATAGCCCTGGTTTCCCTGGAAAGCTGTTAGCCAGGGTTTGTGAGACATCCTGGGCTGAGAGCTGACAGCCTGTTTTGTTGGCTGGGTATAAGAGGCTTTTCACTCCCCAGCTCAGCCCTCCTGGGTTCCCGTGGCTGCGACTGCTCTGCTTGACCTGGGAGTACCCCAGTGTAAGGTTAATTCTCCAAACTAGACTAAACAAAAATAGTGAATTTTAGTTTCCCTGCCTTTTTTTCTCCTTTTTTTTTTAGCCTAAGAGTTAAACCTTTCTTTGTTGGGTTGCTGAAAGTGCAGCACATCCTCATACAGGAAGGTGGAAAAAATCTGGAAATTATTAAGATGCCCAGAAACACTGAACTGAAAGTCTGAGTGAGGTCCAGATTTATATACAAAGACCCTCATCAGGCAGCTCTCCGGGGTGATTCGATAAGGAGCTGAGCCCTGACTCATAAATCCAAATACATTCCCTCTTGGAGAAGCCCCATTGCACATCCTGGCACACGTGACATCCCTGCTGCCTCTGGGGTTTCCCCTCGCAGTAACTGTGCCTGTGGGGTGGTTATGGCCACCTCCATCCCTTCCCCGTGAAGGACAGGGCTGGATTCTGACAGAAGAGCAGCAAGCCCCCTTTTTTTTCTGCTTTTGCTGTTGGTGACAAGGCACTATCCAGGTCCCCCACGGATCCACTCACATGGTGCTTCACCTCCTCTTCCTATATTGTCCCAGTTTGCTGGGCTGGTGTGTGGGCAGCTTCCCAGAGCACCTCCTGGTCTGGCACTGCTGTCAGGGGAGTGTAACAGTCTCCCCAAGGTGAGCTGCCAGGACTGGAGTCAGGCAGTCTCATCCCCAGGACAGCTGATCTGGGCCAGACTCCCGGTCCCATATCCGACATGTCATCCCTCCCACAGAGAGGGAGTCTCTGCTGGGTAACAGAGAATATTCTTGCCCTCCATATGGGGTATACTTGTTTACAGAGGCTTAGAAATTATTTTTCCTTCCTACTGGTGACTTTTTCTTCCCCTTTAAATCTGGGTTAAAACTCCTCTGCAGCTCACTGCCATTCCCTTTGTATCCTCGTGTGCTGTGGAATCAGAAGCGGTGCCAGGCTTGCAGAGAGCAGCGGTGGACTGGGTTGTGGTTGCAAAAGCTAATTACCAGGTTATTGTTTCTAACAGTGCTAATCCCAACTTCATTTTCCTGTTAATTGTCCATCCATCTGGACTAGATGGGTTTTATCATCCTGACTGTGCAGTGTCAGTGGCTGGGAGCTGTAACCAATGCTGCCGTGACGGTGGGAGCTGTGGCCATCCCAAAAGATGTGGCTGTGAAATGTAGTGGCACTTCTGGTGCTCCCCCCATCATCTGAGTGGAGGAGTCAGATTGGCAGACTCCTGTGTAATGATCCCCTGTTTAAAAATCAGCAAGGGAGAGTTTGGGAGGATGTTGCAGTGCTGCGGTGGGGGCGGTGGGAGATTGGGGCCGGTGCTCAGGGTTCTGAGCTCGCCGTATCCATGAGGTTCTGGGAGTGATTCACAGAATCGCAGAATGGTTTGAGTCAGAAAGGACCTTAAAGTTTATCTTGTTCCAGCCTCCTGCCATGGGTAGGGACACCTTCCACTGTCCCAAGTTGCTCCAAGCCCTGTCCAACTTGGCCTTGAACACTTCCAGCAATGGGGCAGCCACAGCTTCTCTGGGCAACCTGTGCCAGGGCCTCACACTGGATGGGGAGGAGAGGCAGGGCAGGCTTTTGTCTGGGGGGCTTTCTGAGGGCACTGAGGTTTTGGGAGGGGTGCAGCCCAATTAGGGCTGTTTCCTTTGTGCAGCAGTGTTCAGGCTGTGCCCACCCACCTCTGCTCCAGCATCCTCATCCCTCTCTGCCCTTTTCCTGCTGCCTCCTGCCAGGGCCCAAACACTTGGCAGAAAAGCAGCAAAGAGAAGCTCCAGGAGAATTTTGCTCCACAAGTCCCTGAGTTGGGGCAGCCTGGCATGTGTTCTGACAGCACAGGCAGAGTGTGTGAGCATTGTAGCTTTGGGAAGTGTCGCAAGGAAGCAAAGCAAATGGGGTCTGTGGAGGTTGGCAGCAGGAAGGGGAGAGGAGTAGGTGGGTTTGTTTAAAATCCTCCTGTTCCAGCCAGGTAACCTTTCTGAAAATTGCATAAACCTGGAATTGTCTCTGATGGGGTTGCCTAGGAACAGGCGGGCAGTTTTTCTAAGACGATGGACACACAGTCCCTGCTCAGGCTGTTGGGCACCAGGATGGTGAGCCATGTTATCCCACATCCTGGGTTTGCCTGGAGCAGCTGCCTGCTCACATGGGACACCTTGTGCCAGAGGTGGAGGGATTGGGAGACCTGGAACCAGCCCTCCACAACAAATAGCCCCTTCCCAAGCCCCTGCACGTGGCTGTGCCACCATGTCTCCTGGGAGTGAGGTCCTGGATTGTAGCAGCCCTGCTCCCACTCTGGAATGGCCAGGCAAGGGCTGGAGGGAGTGAAACATGCAAAGAAGATCAAGGAAAACTGGTTGAAAAACAAAGTTAGAGGCACAAAGCTCAAACCTGTGGATTCAGCCCTCAGACAAGTGATGCTCATCCTGCAAACTGTGCAGGTGGGGCATCCCCACACCCCAGGCAGCTCTGGGCTGTGTGACTGCACATCATCCTGTTGCTCAGAGCGTGGACTGAGGTGTAAAGCCATAGGAATGGGTTCAGCCAGCTCCAGTTAGCTCCAAACCAGCTGACTGGTGCAACTGTAGCACCGGTGCTAAGGGGACCACAGGGGCAGTCAGCTGGAGGGGTGAGTTGGCACTGCTAGAAACTGTGGGAAATTGCTTTATTTCTCCCTTTTCCTGGCCAGAAAGAGGGTGGCTGAGGGTGCTGGATGGCCTGCATGTCCCGCTGCCTGCAGAGCTGGATCAGCATCTCACGCAGGGATCGCTGTGCGGTTCTAGTGGCGCGAAGCAACTTCCGAAGGCAGTGGGAGTAGCTGGAAGAATGCAGATCCTTTATTAATAGGGGTTACAGACATTTTCTGCTGGGCGGAAATATTGATTCTTTATTCCTATTTTAAAGGGAGCTTTTTGTAATGATCACTGGGAGTCGTTTTCCATTATCGATTGCAGCGGAGCCGTGCCGGAGCCCTCCCTCCATTCATCCCGTCCCGCGAGTGCCGGTTTTCCTTTCAGGAACGTGGAACTTCTTAACTCAGCATTTCTGTCGTCTTTGGGGGGGTTGCACTTGGTGGTTAAAGAGACATGCACGTTTGCTCTTTTAAATCTGGTTACACCGTTCTGAAAGTTCACCTTTGAGGGGGAGGAGGTGTGGGGAAGGCAAACGCTAAAAATAAACCTCCCCCCCTTAAGTAGATCAGTTCTGCGTTTGACATTTACATGGAATTCATTTGCATCTCATTTGTACATGTTTCTGCTCAATAGGTAGAATGTAAGAAAGCACAACCTAAAGAAGTGATGTTTCCACCAGGGACGAGAGGAAGGGCACGTGGATTGCCGTACACCATGGACGCTTTTATGCTGGGGATGGGAATGTTGGGTAAGTGCCGGAGCCACCGCGCAGCTCCCGGGGCCAGCGGCTCCCGTGTTGTCTTCCCTGATTCCCAAACCCTTAAAAAACCATAGGGGTGAGCCAACCCCTGCACCTGCGTGGGTGCAAGGCTGAAACTTTTAGCAGGGGTGGAGTGGAGAAAATAATCCTGTCTGTGGTAAATGATTAACTCCCCCCCACCCCCCCCCCGCCTGGAATATAAAAAATTTGCATTTAAATGGATGTTTTAAATAGCCTGTTTTACTCTTACTCGCAAAAAATAGAATGATGAAAGATGCAGTGTGTTCATCCTGACTAAAAATGATCTCTCCCCTTTTTTAGAGGAATTGAGTCACACATTATTCCCCTTCTTTTAAAGGTAGCTTTGACAGTTCAGCATAGATAATTGAAAATCTTGCTGGTTCTTAAATGACATGGATGGAGGAAGCAGGGAGATGTGTAACAGGACAGGTCACAACAATAATTACAAGTTTCAAGGAGATGGAATGGTATTTTAGTCCTGAGTATTGTGTCCAGAAAATACTAATTAAATGGGATAAATGATATTTAATGGCAAAATTCTATTTGTGTGCAAGGTCTATTTAGTTATAATTGGTTCTCATTTGTTTCTGCCTAGATAGTTGTTCTTTCTATATAATGTGACAACTTCTGGATACTCTCTCCTCAGCCAAAATACTGCTAATCCATTGCTGATGTTCTTTTGTAAAACCCCATATATTTTCAACTTTCTGCTTTGTGTCCCTGGACTTCCCCTCAGTTGTCACGTGCCGTGTCCATAAAACCTGTGGGAATAAGGGGGCATCTGGGGGCAGAGAGCCTCTCCCAGGCTCATGTCCCTGATGTGTAGGCTCTCTGGAATGCTTTGAATTTTCTATCCTGTGTTTAGATGATCCCACAAACTGAGCACAAAACCCAGCCTTGGAAGCTGGGTTGCCCTGAGCCTTGCCAGGCAGGTCTGGGGGCTACCTGAGATGCTGGAGGACCCCAAAGCTCCTGAGGTGGACATCAGGTCAGAGGACTTGGTTCCTGTGAGGATCAGGCTGTTGTGCTGAGGTGTCTGACTCCAGGCACCGCTTGATTTGATAGGAAAAACTCCCTGCCATGTTTGCTTTATCTCTGAATTAATAGTACTTCTGTTTGTGTGGCTGGAGCGATCCATTTCTGGGACGTGTAATTGGGTTATTTCAGCTGATCATCTGTTTTGCTGTCCCCACGCTCCACCGCCACCCTGCCCCACAGTGTTGGGAAATTACATTTTCTGCTTAAAATATTTATCTTGCTCTAGTCAGTCCATGATTTCGTTACCTGTGTGTTCGCAGTGTGCTCGAGCAAATGTACTCAATTTCTGCTGTTCCTCTTCCTTTTCCACCTGTGGTGCCCCTGTGGGTTGGGGGGGTGGAGGTGGTGGGTGCCACCATGCTGGCCAGTCCCCCTGGCTGCAGGAGGAGAGAGGCCACGCCACCCTGGGAAGCCAAGAAGATCCACAGTGTCATCATCCCTCTTGTGCCCACCGCTTCGCCTCAGCCCTCCTCCTTGCAGCTGGGCAGGGAATGAGTGGAGCCGTGTTCACCTCAGTGTCCTGAAGGGATAAATTGAGCCCTCAGGTGTAGTGGGGATCGTTCCCACCGAAGCTGCTTCTCTGGGAAGTGATTGTTTCAAGCTGTGGGAAGTAAGGGAAGAAGCCCTCAGCAAGTGGACCTGCACAGAGGAAGAGATGGGGCACCTGTTGGTGGACCCTGTCCTGCTGCAGAGGTGGGTCTGGACCAACCCAACCAGCGCTGCTCTGGCGGGTCTCACACTGCACCCACCCTACATTTGAAATTGGGGTGACTTGCTCAGCACTAGTGATTGATCCATGGTGAAAGCCAGATGCTTCATTATCCACTCTAGATGGTGTTTCATCTTCCCAGTTCCTGCTTGCTACAGTGGCACTGTGTTAAATAATTAAGTGCTAAACAAGGAGATTGCAGTGCAGGAGAGCAGAGCTGCCTGGATGGCCATCAGAACCCCCCATTTCAAAGGCTGCAGGGCCCATCCCTGTGGGAAGAGGGCTGTAATTAACCCATCAAACGACAAGGCACAGAATTCCCATTATGCCGGAGGCAACGTCTGCCACAGCCGAGTGTTCTGCGGGGCCTCAGGAGGCCGGGTCAGCCCTATCCCGTTCCTCCTGTTCCGTGCCCAACTGGCCTGAACCAGAGCAAGTGGGGCTGCTCTGGAAGGATTTTTATACCTGTTTCCAGAAGCCTTTGTTCAAGGTCACCTTCTGCAGCTGCTGTTCACGGGCAGAGGAGGAATCAGAGGAACAAACGCATGAGACAACCCAAAGGAAGGAGCAGGGAGCAACTCCCTCCAAAGCTATTAAGGAAGTTGGTCTTTTTCATTAATCACAGCCTCCCCAAGGAGCCTACAGCAGCCGGGGTCTAAAGGTGCACAGGCAGCCGCTTCTGTGATGATTTGGTTGATTGGAGCAAAATTAAAGTGTTCTTCTGAAAGGATTTTTTGACTTGGAGAGCGCGGGCAGGCTGAGCCTTCTGCCAGGAATGCTTCTGGGCTGTCTGGGGCTCGGGCTGCTCGTTGGACACACACGATCTTGGGGAGAGCAGGGGCATTAATGAGCCTCTCTGCATGAAGAGTGGTCGGGACACTTTTGATTCCACCAATCTCCCTGTCTCTGTCAGCCCATCTTCCCTGTCAGGAGGAGCTGCTCCCCAGCCCTAGGGATGCTCGTGAACAGGTCCCCTGTCCCTCCCTGCACATATCTGTGGCTCAGTGGGAGCAGTTTGGTGACCAGGAAGTTCACCCTGTGCCTGGAGCCTCACTGCTGTCACCTGGTCCTGGTGTGCAGACCAGGAGCCCTATCACCCAAGGACATGATGGTGTCACATGATGCCCCACAGCTTTTTTCCCTCTGTTCAGGTCTGTGCCTGCAAACTTGAAAAGAAGAGAGAAAAGAAGAAAGCAACATTAAGAGGGGGTGATCTTTGTCTGTCCTCCCATCTGAAGCTGCTCTCTGGGACAGTGCAGCCACCATGGCAGTGGTCCCGGTGGTGACACCCAGATCTGGGTGTGACTGAGCTGGCACCCCACAGCACTCATTTCTCCTGGCAGTGGGCATCTTTCTGGTGTTTAATGTTAAAATTGGGCTCCTTTAACTTGCAAATCCCTCCAGAGACAGGAGCAGTCGTCCCCCAAAGCTTACACCCCTGGAGTGCCAGCGCAATGGTAGGGTAGGATCACGGGGTTTCGGAAGGTCTCTGGCAGGGCTGTGTGTTCCTGCACACGCTCAGTCTAGGTAGGCTGAGCTCATGCATAAAAGAAGCTTGTGCCCTTCAAAGAAAGTCATTCCTTTTTCCATCAGACACTGTTGAGTGCAGTAGCAGCTGCCTGTGAGGCAGGATTCCGACGGGGAGCCCTTGGTTAGCACAGGCTGCCCTGGAGGCTGGCACGGTGCTCCAGCACCCGCTGCCCATGGGCACAGCTGCCATGAGTGTCATGTCACTCCTTAGTCCTGTGGAGTAGGAGACAGGTCAGCCCAGGGCCAAGGGAGAAGCTTCTCCAGCAGATGTGTTTCCTCTCTGTAGCTGCTCCCCAGGATGTGACCACCTGTGTGTCTATAGGGGATTATTTTTGGCTTTCATTCCTTCATGCTACAGGTGCTTATATCAAGGTCACAACACGTTTCTTTTGGGAAAGACCCTCAGGATTTTTGTTGCAGCGTGGAACTATGCTTTGGTGGGAAGACCCTGCCTTCCTTTGCAAACAACCTGTGGTTCCTCAGAGCAGCGTTTGGAGACAGTAATTTTCTTGCATTTACTAGAGCATTTGACTTAATTTTTCAGAGGTCCCTGATGTGCTCAGTGTTTCCACATATTGAGCATGAGCTTTGTACATCTCGGATCACCAAATTTTAAAATGAAAAGACATTTCCATGGCCTGGGCAGGAGCCCAGTGGAAGTGGTGGTGTGAAGGTGGTTTGGTTGCTGGTTTGAGTTCTGCTCCCACAAGCCAGGAGGGTCTTGCTTCAGAGGAGGTGATCCTGGCAAAACTTGGAATTTTGATTTACCGGCAAGGGATAGTTAGAGGGATTGGTCATTCCTCAGGACTACCAAAGCAAATCAACTGCTCGGTGTCCAGTGCAGGATGAGGATGGCACCTAATGGGAATGTTGGGTAGGTCAGCATGGCCATGATTTGGCTCGATGAAGGATCCACGTGGGCGTGGCGTTAACGCGCTATTGATATTCAGCCAGGCAATTTCTCCGTGTGGATCAGGCTTCGAGTCGTTAGAGCAGAGCCGGGCACTGCAGCAGTAAATGAAGAGGAAAATTGAAGTAATGCTGTATTACAAATTTATGATTTCATCTGCCTGACTTAGGGACCGTTGAGCTCTGGTGGTGCCGGCAGAGCCCCCGGGCAGCTCGGCTGGTGTCGCAGCCATCGGGCACGGCCATGTGTGGCCAGGGAGAGTGGGGCTGCAGCGGGACTGCCCCGGGGTGGAGGCAGGACCATCCCAGGGCAGGCAGGTGAAGAGGTGGCATCCAAAACCACTATGGGCAGTTGCCATCTACCACCATGCCAATCCAGCCAGAGCCACAGGCACCAACCTGCAGACCTCAGGTGCTGCCCAGCACATCAGTCCCCTGCACCCCGACAGTCACGAGCTGACAGATCTGCTTCAGTACTGTCTGAATCAAAATAAAACCTGATTTTTTCCCTTGGCAAGGAGAGGGGCTGTGCTCGGACGCCGCGGGGCGATTTTTCAGCAGTGGTGTTAATGGCGCTACTTACTCAGCAAACAATCCATTTATCAATAGGGTTGTTTAAAAAAAAAACCAGAAAGGAAAAAAGGTTTGTAAAGCTTAACTCTGAAAGATCTGATTTAATGACAGAGGTGATTAGTTTCTAAGGGAATCCAGCCTGTAGAGCTGTGAAATAAATAGTCAAGGGCTAAGCGGTGTGTACATATCGCTGAGAGCGCGATGTGCTGTCCAGGCATCGCAAGGCTGCCTTTGCTTGGCACTGCTTAATCCCATAATCAGAATTCATCCAAGCATTTTTATCTTCCAGTTTTAGATTATGATGAATAGTACGTTATATGTATGTATAAATCTGGTCGGAAATGGAGGGACTTGCTGCAGCAGGAAAATAGTCGTGTGATGGATGAGAGTATTAAAGGATAAATAAAAGCAGAGGTAGGAGCCCCCCAGAAGAGCCATTTGCCTGCTGAACGTGTTCTCAGCCTCCAGCCCAGCTGCTACCAGGATTCCCACTGACTTCGAATAGTGGGAGCAAACTTTTCCTTTTCTTGATCTGGAGAGGTCTGGGCTGGCGCTGAGGATCAGCAGGGATGTTGCATTAAGTGCACTGGAATTGTAAAGAGCAGTGCCTGTTTTTAAGAAAACTGAGCAAGGAAAGGTTGAGAATCAGTGGGAGGTTAGAATTCTAGGAAACCTCCTGAGTGTACAGGACACCTTGGGCATCGACCATCCTGGTCACAGCAGACAGCCACAGTGGGACCACAGAGGACAGCTCATTCCAGTGGGCAGAGTTACCACTTCATGCCTTTACTGAGGCGTCTTTATGAACAGAATGATCCCAGGTGGCTTTTTCTCCTGATAACCCTCCCAGAGCTGCCAGGGGTCGGCTGTGTTGCTGCTCTACCTCAGAAATGGCTTTTGGAAGCGCCTCCCGCAGCTTCCTTTTACTTTCCTGAAAAATTAAAAGCTCTTTGACTCCCTGGCTCGTTTCTGCTGCTGCCTCCAACTCTTTGATGTGTTAACTGTTGTCCTTCACACTCCCGGGATAAAGAATTACTACTACCTTAATCTCCAACTGTCAATAGCTCTGAAGCAAAGTACATTCATTGTAAGCTCTCCAAATGTCAGAGCAAACCCGTGTTATGTGTTTAGCCTTAGCATTTGGCATTTACTCTTCCAGCTAACAAGTATGCACAGTCCTTGGGCTCCAGACACCAAAGTGCATGTTAATTACCGGAGTGACAGGGCTCCTGCTCGGAGCTGGGCCAGCTCTAGATGTTTCTATTCAGGGTAATGATGAAACCTCTCTGCAGTTTGGCATGAGCAGAATAAATCTGATTTTTTAATACCTTCTGTAAAATCAAGTCTCACCCATCCTTCCTGTCATTGTGTATTGTATTTAAAAAAAAAAAACCCTCTTCATTAATCCTCAATCTCTCTCTCTCTCTCTCTCTTTCTCTTTTCTTTGACATTTCTGTGGTCTAGGTTACCCGAATTTTGTTGCAACGTATGGCCGAGGATATCCTGGATTTGCCCCAAGTTACAGTTATCAGTTCCCAGGTATGTACATTTCATTTGCAGATTTGCTTTATTTCCCCTCTTTCCTTCTTTTTTTTTTTTTGTTTGTTTGTTTTCTTTTTTTCCTTTTTATTTAAATCCGTAGCTGCAAGCTGAGACAGGCAAGTCTGCAGGGAGCATCTCACACGACAGCAAATTTTTTTTTTTGTACTATTTTAAAATAGATATTTACAGAGACATATTTTAAGTACATTTTTTTCCTAGCGTGTAAATTGGTACTGGTTATTTGAAAACAAACTTCTTAAATTAAAACATAAAGCAAGAGAGATCATTGAAGAGCTGTTACCCTCCCTTTGATGGGTTTTTCCTTTCATATATATTATAGAGCTACACACAGACACGCACATGCACACAGAGACCCGCACACACCTTCCCGTGCTGTCCTGTGGTAAGTGAATATTCAGCTTTGGAGTGAAAAGTCCAACCTTCCTGTGTTCTGTGTTGGGGTCTCGGGGGTCTTTCACAGGAGTAGTTTTGGTGTGTTGATGGTGGAGTTTGGCGTTGGTTGGTTCCCCCTTTCCTTGGCGTAGCTGCCGCCGTGGTGGGCCAGGGCTGGGCTGGCTGGGGTCAGGAGAAAATAAATCAGAGAATCACAGAATAGAGTGGTTTGGATTGGAAGGGACCTTCAAAGGCCATCTAGTCCAACCCCCTTGCAATGAGCAGGGACATCTTCACTAGATCAGGTTACACAGAGTTGTGTCCAGTCTGACCTTGAACACTTCCAGGGATGGGGCATCCAGCAAAGCCCATCCAAAACCCTTTGTCCATTCCAGCACATCCACAGTGGGACTGACACCACACAGGACAGGGAGTTCCCTTTCCTTTCACGCTGGGGTTTTCCCAGCAGCTCAAACAAGCCCAGCAGCACTGCTGTGTTTGTGGCTGAAGCCCCATCTGGCCACCATGAGACCCCAGCAGGCCTTGCCTTAAATTCCTGAGCACCCTCATCACAGGGACTCACATGCTGCAGCCCCACCACCTCCTGCCATGCTCCTTGGGGCTCGGAACAACAGGGTTGGGAGCTTGGGATAATGGGGAAACCAAATGAACCCCCTGTAGTGAGCAACAGCAGGGCAGGAGGAAAACCAGCATGCTCATGGGAAGGTCCTCTAGGATGGGTGAGGATGTGGATGGATGCTTGGCTCTGCCTGTGGCTGGACATGGAGGCTGGGGCAGACACAGAGCCTTGTGTCTGGCCCTAGGTCATTAGGATGAGACCCTGCTTTGGGAGAATACGGATTGTCATCATCTGTAGGATGAACAGTGTCCTTGGGATGGGGCTTTTGTGCAGCTGGTTTTTGCAGGACTGATAACACCGAGGGTAGCAACACTGTGAGGGTTTATTTTTTTGAATTCTACCAAAAGCTCAGCTGTTTCTTCCCACCTGTGCTACACCCTCCTGGGCCAGGCCCGAAACAAGCAGGGTGTCAGTGGAGCTGCTGGGGTGTCGTGCCGGGCAGGGAGGGCCAGCAGCAGTGAGTGACACAGTGCTGGTGGGGACAAGGCAGGTGACCCCCTGGAGACCCCACCACTGCTCCACTGGAGCCAGTGGGAGAGTCCAGTCCTGCAGGATTGCAGCCAGGAGTTGGATGTGAGGAGGAGGCCTCAGCAGGCGCTGGTGTTGTTGTCTCACACTCTCCTCCCGGCCCTCACGATTCCGTGTGGCAACTGATACATATGAAGGCACTGAATGAGAGACTCCTTTGATAGGTTTAATGATGGAAATCAGCAGAGCTTAGATGAGTTTAATTATAAACATGTCTAAAACGAACGTGTCTACTGCCTGGCAGTAAAGGCACCCTTCAACTTGAGCCCTCCTTAGATATATTTTTGTTAAGGGCCTTGTTTTTCCAAAGCAGGCCTTCTCGTTACTGCCTGGTTATTTTCAGTCTCCTGCAGAGATGGAATATGGAGAAAAAGATCCAAGTGAGTTGTCAGCACTAAAAAGCTGCCCCAGCTGTGGGCCATGGTGAGCCTGCGGGAGAGCCGGGCAGCACTGGGAGATGCTCAGGGTCCTGTCTCACCTTGTTGGGTTTCCCTGTCCCAAAGCTCTGCCCCTGCTCCACTCCCACTCAGACCATTCTTCCTTAGCAGCAATCAGAACCTTATCAGAGTTGTTGGGGGGTTCTCAGATGATTTGGGGCTCCAGTCTCCAAGAACATGACCCATCAGAGCGGCGCAGGGCATGGGAACCTCCTGGCCAGAGGTGCAACATGAGGGGTCAGGGGCCAGGCAGCAGGATGGGCTGTCTCCCTTGCTGGAGCAAGTGTTTGGGGACAGAGAACCCAGTGCCAGGGCCAGGGAACCATTTGGGAGCAGGGCAAGAGTTGAGGTGCTGACCCTTCCCTTCACGTGTTTTGGCACTTGCGGAAGTGCCTGTGGGGATGGTGGTAGGGCTGTGACTTGGAGTGTGGGACAGGCATGTGCAAAACGATGGAGGGGAATCCGAAATCTGCTTTTTTTGTAAGTTGTCAGGTCCAAAATCTCAGTGCTGTGATTTGGAGAGAGAAATTCTCAGCTGTTTCTGCAGGAGCATCCTGGGCTGTTGGTCTGAGAGCTTCCTCTGCCTCCCGGCTCCACGACACCCAAACTTGGTGGTGGTCAATGTAAATGTGCAGTAAATGTACAGTCACACTCCTGGGGTTCCTCTGGGAGGAGGCCTGGCAGTGTGTGTCACACAGTACAGTTGTGTTCTCCTGCACGTGCCCGTCCCTGTGTGCTGGGCACAGGCACTGTCCCACTGGGCTGTTGGTCTGTCCCGGCACAGGTTACACTGCCTGGCTACTATTTCCATAAATGAAAACCAAAACAGGGAATTCCCACCTGGTTGAATTGTCCTGATGGTATTTACTGTTGTCCAAGTGAAATGAGGTACAAATGCCACACCCCACCTGTTTGCATTCCCTTTCCCATGTCCGTGATGGACACAGCGCTGCTGGAGCTGCGGGCAGGGTCCCCTCACAGACTGTCCCACATCCTCTCCCACATCTCCCATTTCCTATGGCACGGGACAGCCCCTGACTCCATTGACAAGACACGTGCAACCCTTTGGCGACTGCTCTGTCCCCTCCCATCCCGTTATTCCCTCCATCCCTTCCTCACGCAGTACGTTGCCTCTTTTATTTTAATTGCAATCACTCCCTTTCTGTGTCTCTTTTTTATTTTATTTTTTTTTATTTCTGGGACTTATCTTTTCAGTTTAATCTATTAATTTCTGTTCTTATTTCACTTTGCAGACTATTTGCCGATTTCACAAGACATAATTTTTATCAACTAGTTCTTAAAGATGCATAACAAATTAATCGGGGTTTACTACAGTGCTAATGAGAGAGAGACAGAGAAAGCCTGGGTGGTCCATGTTTAATATCAATGTCCACTGAAAAATTGCTGCTCTTACTGGCTGGTTTGATTGACTGGACTTTTTATTTTATTTTTATTTTTTTAAAGGCTCCATATCCTCACTGCTTTGAGTTTGCTTTTTAATTTTTTTATTATTTTTTTTTCCTCTGCTTTGTTATGAGTTTTTAATGCCCACTTGGAATGTAACTCACAAGGATGGGGTCAGGGGCGTTCCGAAGGCATGACTTCTCACAAACTTCTTAGAAATCGTTTTATCAGTGAAGTAGGAAGGGTGATTGGGTTGATTTGGTCTCACAAACAGCCCCAGAGAGAGCGACTGGCGCTTTTTAACATGGGGACAGCCAGCAGTAGCACAAATCGTATCCAGGGTGGAGCAAGAAGGGTGTCTCCTGTCCCTGGGATCATTGGCAGCCCAGGGTGTGATTATTCCGATTGGGTGACCCGATGGCTCTCACGGACCACACGTGTCCTCATTCCGTTCCCTTTGGATCGATGGCTCTTGGAGAGCTGCCACAATCACACAGAGGCCACGGTGAGATGCCACCAAGAGAGGGGCTGAGGCAGTTCCTGCCCCCCCAGCGATTCCTGCCCCGCTCCCAGAGCCCGTGGAGCTCTGAGCAACCTGGTCTAGTGGAAGGTGTCCCTGCCCTTGGAACGAGATGAGCTTTAAGGTCCCTTCCAACCCAAACTGTTCTGGGATTCTGTGATCCCAAGCTCCAACCGCCCCTGCCCCGCAGCCGGTGATGCTCCTGCACACTCCTGCACCCGCTTCTCCTTCCAAACTTTGCTTGCAAATCATGGGGGAATCTCCTAAATTCTGACCAAGCTTTCCCTGCTTAAGCTGCATCGCTCCTCTTCATCTCCACCCAAATTGCAGGAGAGCTGCAAAGCTCCTGCCATTGGCTTTAACAAGACTGGATTCTGGACTTTTGGGTAGAAAACACACATTATATTTAAATTCTGCTTCTCTTGAAGTGTTTCTACCCATTTGATAAGTTTGTGAGAAGTACGTTGCATGCTTACAGTAGAACTGTAATGCATTTTAATGTTTGTTAATCCACTTGTTTAAAATGTCAGTGTCAAAGGCTCTACAATCCACGGCTGTGCTGTTCATTTCATTAAAGATGCTTGATGTAATAATTGGGTAGTTTTCTTTTGACTTTTCTGCAGGCAATAGCTTTTTTTAATCTGTATGGCTTCTTATTATTTTGTTTGGGTTTTTTTGCTATGAATTGCTTTGCTTTTGTGAACTTGTCTTAGTGTGCATGATTTGCAAACATTTCGGCTATTGTGAATTTTCTCATTTTTTGTAAATAGTCCATCTGTGCTTTTCTTTTTTTTTTTTTCTTTTTTATGACTTTTTTTCCTGTAAGTAACTGAGGTAGAAAATAATAATAAATTGTTTACAACGGATCTGCTGTGTTGCTGCTCTCTTAGCTTGCAGTTTTAATATTTTGGTTTGGATGCCCCAAATAACCAGTACCAATGACAGTTGAATAAAAGAATAAAACAACCATCACTCAGAGTGTGTGACCCGGTGTTTGAAGAACCTGCAGAGGAACAGTCACATATGAGGTGTGTTTACAGCAAAAATTACACCCCCAAAAAAAAGACAACAATGC